CCCCAAAACCCCAAAACCCCAAAACCCCTTATCAACATAAATAATTTGAATTATAAGCCACTTTATTTATTTTTAGGTGACTTCTTCCTCTTAGGTGACCTTGGTCTCTTCTTCTTGACTACGTTGAGTCCAGTTGACTCTCTAGCTATGAACTCGAAGATTTGGCTGAAGTCCTTGTGCTTTCCTATATGAGGTCAGGTGAGAGTGATTAAGAATAAGGATGTTCTGAAAGAGCTGGGTTTGAAACTCATTATTGATAATTGTTCCTTAACTCTCGATAAACACAAAAATTGCTCATTAGGAATTATTATGAATATTTTGGAAACCAGGAGATTTATAGTATATATTTAACTAATCCTGAAGGATAAGTAGGCTATTAAAACCTCATAGATCAATTTTAGTTCTTAATGTATTACTCTATTCAGAACACCCATGCTAATTTTAAGCTAAATCTCTTGTGGGTTCAAGAAAATTTAAGAAATTCTTACCAAGAATTTTAGGGTTCATGATATATTTAAATCCAAAATGCTTCAGGAATACAATCTCACATTGCCTGCTGAATTCTAGAGCTCTAGGAATTTCATTGCCTTTCGAGAGATCTGAAGAATATTCAGTAGCTTTGGCAACAAGTTTGCCAAAATTCAGCTGGCTCTTCTGTGTGTGTAGCTTTGGGTCATCTTTTTCCTTTTCTTCTCCTTCTTCGTCCTCGCCTTCAGCTTCATCTTCCACTGGTTTAATCTTGAGAGGAGAATATTCAGGGTCTTCTGAAGGTGGTTGGAAATTTGCATCTGAAATAATTGACTTATTAGCACTGAAAGTATTGACGAAAACATGGCAGCAGTCCTCATTAGGTACTTTATATTCCTCACCAAGAACCTCTCAGAGAAAGTTAGTGAATGAGTCATAAGAGTTTATTTCAGATTCTTTCATATCATTTAAGAAGAGGTCTCCTAATGCATCTTTACAAGTATCTATCAGGTCATTTATACAGTCAATTAGAAGAGTCATGAAGTTGTGGTAGGAAATGAACAGTTCCTTCTTTGAAACTTGGAATACATATGGCCTAGTAACTTCTTGCAAGAACACGTTGAAGTCAACTCTATTGACATGTTTACTATCAAAATCTGCATTAAGTAGATCCTCAGGAGATTCTAGCTCTTGCTCTTTGATTATGAAATCATTGAGGACTAGCTCTAAGTCTGATGGAAGCATCACAATTTTGTAATAATTAAGTAAGGTAAAGATACACTGCTGCATTGAGCAGTATCCTTTCTTCTCAGGGTCAAAGAACTGATGAAGCTTCTTTGAAATTTGCAAGTCGCTATTATATAGCTGAATACAGATGCATCTGAATAAGAATCTTTTCTTAATTTCTAACGGATCTGTGATGTTACTGTCATCATCTTGGTCATCAATTTCTTCTTGAAGGTCAGATGGCAGTTGAGGCTCTTGATTTTCTTCTTCCTGTTGCTCTCCTTCCTGTCCTCCTTCCCGATTCTCGTCTTTATTTTCATTTTTAGTCTCTTCATGATTGTCGCCTTCAGCTTCAGGCTCTCCTTCGCCTTCACCTTCAGGTACTTTGGGAAGCATAACTCTGAAGATGTAGGTGGACATCTGACTTATGATCATATCTCAAAGAGGTCTGAAATCTTTCAGGTATTCTCTTAGGAAATTAATGATATCATTGTGTGGGAAGTTAATTTCAGGGTCACTTAGATCTTTCTCAGCTAAGAACTCTTTCTCCTTAGCATACTGCAAGAACTTAATTCTTAGTTGCAAAAAGAGTTGCTTGACTATCTGTCTGTACTCGGATCTGGTGTTTCTTTGAGGGTTGGTTTTAATGACAGTTTCGTTCTATATTTTTAAACCACTCTCCTACATTAAGAAACCCTGTCTTCATTGATAGCATTTTTGACGAGTATAGGTTCGGATATAGAGATAAGGAGTATCAATATTGGTATAATTCAGTTGATAATGTTCTGAAAGTGATCTCTTTTGTTCTTAGTCTCTATAAATTAACCAAAGATTCTCCACCTTTGACATAGTAGATTCCTCGATATTCTCAATAACTTTCCCTCTTTCATTTTGGTCTCAGAACTGTTGCAGATAGATTGTCTCGATAGTTGGGTAATTCGGATTGATTCTGAGGAAAGAGAGGTCTAAGAATTCAGGGCCTTTACCCTTCTTCTTCTTTCTCTTAGGACTTCTTGATCTTCCTCTAGGACTCTTATTTCTTTTTATTTTTACTTAGCATCTCGATCTCGTAGTTTTGGGAGTACTCGAGAAGCTTAGTTCCTATTGTATTGAGTATTTCCTCACTGGTGATAAACACTTTGCTCATGGGTTGAATGTTAAAATCAAGCTTCTTTGGGAACTCAACAGTATCCTGGTTTAAGAATTTGAAAACTCCCGAAAACGGGTGACTAAAACTCTCCATTATTTGATGGTCATCTAGAGAAGGTAGTATTATCTCTTTGACTTTTAGAGGTGTAATTCAGCTCATTTCAGTTTGGATTTCGACATTTTGTGTCTCTCTGATTTTCTTCCCCGTATCAAAGATATCCTCAAGCTTGTGGACAGTTATGGTCCTATTCTTTCTTTCCAAGTGTAAACTTTCTATCAACTCTCTAGCAGTGTCATAGAGGTCCTTAGAATCAGTAAAGCCAGGATATTTCTTATCGTTACTAGTGAGCATCTCAATGAAATCGAGCTTGTCTTGGGCAAGTTTTTGGAATGACAATTTTTCTTTCTTAATAAGATCAAGTCTTTCCTTAAGAGCCTCAATGTATTCAGTTTGGTCCATAGCTCTCATTTCCTTGTCTTTATCTTCCAGTTTTTTATTCATTTTCTCTATAACTTTAGCAAACTGGTCCTGGAGTTTTACAACTCTTCTCTTGAATCTCTCATCAATGCTCTGTAGAATGTTATCCATGGTGATAAGGAGTGTCTTCCAGAAGCCATCAAGGAAGAGGCCTCCCATTAAATCTCCGATGTCTACCACTCTGTATCTGATATAGTGCCTGAACAGTTTGGAAAACCTGTTTAGTGTGTCAAGGATTTCAGGGTGCTCATCAAGAGGTTTAAGCTTCTTTGATGAAGTAATTTCCTTGATGATATCATCAATTTCGTAGATAAAGACTACGTCTTTATCACGGATCCTCATCTGGATGTCCTTATCAAGGAAATCCTCTTCTAATTTGAACTTGTTGTTAATTGTCGTGAATTGTTCAGAATTTTCGAGTTGGTCAGCATTGTTCTTGAATGGAGAAGAATATGCTGATCCAACATCTTTGAAATCTTCCTCTTCATGGTCTCTAATTTTTATAGGAGTCTTATCAAGATTTTCAACACTTTTGATGCCTTCAAGATCTTCTTTTTCCTGAGAGATTAATGGATTTGAATGTTCATCCTCTTGCAAAATTTCTTCTACCAATATCTTTGGTTTAAGATCATTATCTCGTTCTTTCTCAACAGTTTGGGGCTGGATCTTCTCTACAGATTCTTGACTGATCATATCAGGTAACTTTGGCTGTGGAGATTTGAGATTTATGATATCTGCTTGTGAGTTCTCTATCTTCTCAAGCTCTTCCTTGTTCTCTCCTTCCTCATACTTAGATCCTAGAAGGAGGTCCTGATTTTCGACGCTAAAATGAGATATTAGACCTTACTTGTGGTTAGCGTTTTTGGCATTGGGATCATTTTCAAACATGAGGTCAATTTCATTTTCTAAATATCCTGCTTTCATCAGATTCCCTTTTCTTTTCTGTACTAGTTTCTGCTTAATCAGCCCTTTGGATTTATTAGAGAATAACTTATGGAACGTTGCATCTATATCATACTTGAGAGGAGTGAATATATGGAACTTTTCAAGGATTTTATCATGCTTTTCAAGTTCCTTTCCCCAGTTCATGATCAGCATTTTGTATTTGGCCTTCAAGTCAATTTTTAATTTCTTCTCTTTGTAAGTAGTTCTGAGCCCTCTTGTGGCAGAGATTGCACGCTTTTCAATTCTCTTTATGAAATTGTCTGTTCCACGAGCCCCTTGACTTGTGTGGATGTTCCTTTGCTTTTGGTGAAGAAGCTGAGGAGAGAATTGAGCAGCCGAAGAAGATTTATGTATTGTCTTATGCTTCCAATATTGGGATGACACTTCCAGATTATCCTCCGGAACCTTTACTAGAGTTTTTCCATTAACAGAGGTAATCGGAATTTTTATACCATCATATTTTGCAGTTTGGGGGCGAGCCATCTTTGATGTCCTATAGTTGATATTTAATAGTTACTGAAGGATTTTGAATCCATCACTAGATTGTAAATAATCTTGGTTATCATTGAGCCCAGAAATCTTTCTTGATGGAAGGTTCTTATACATATTGTCTGATTGAGAGAGCCCATCTCTTTGCATATCTAAATTCTTTGGCTCAGACTGCTCGGTGGCAAAGTCATATCCACTTGCTATCTTTCCTTCTCTGTTTGGGTATGCATTCCTCACATTATTATGCTTCCTTATCTGAAAATCTTTAGTACTTTTGAGATCAGATTTGACCGATCCTCTTATTGATCCCTTAGTCATAGGCCTTTTACGAGATTTTGAACCAGAATCTCCTCCTCGATTACTTTCCGAATTATTTCCTCTTGCTAGTTGGATTTTGAATTGAAGATCCAGTCAGAAGCATTTTATTGTTAAATACTCTTTTAGATAGCCTAGCTGATGCTGGCGGATGTTTGATGCCAGCATATTGGCTTTTCTGTGACTTTGCATAACTACTAAGAGAGACTCTATCTTTATTTGACTATATGAAAAATCAGTTAATTTCCCCTTCAACCACTAATGTCTTACACTTGAATTTCTCATCTTGATCAAAACTGATTTCTTCTCTTTGTCCACTATAAGCCATCAGTCAAATTCCATTCTCAAAGTCTCTAACTCAGCTAATGCAAGCCCTATGTAAGCCCCTTCTTACCTGGCTGAGTCGGTTCCATTTTAATATTTTATTTTAATTTCATTAAGAATTCTTCCTAAAGGGGTTTTGGGGTTTTGGGGTTTTGGGGTTTTGGGG